TGCGTTAAGTACACATCAATTTCAGGTATACATAGTAGTATCATATGCAAAGTTATTTCATCTGTACCACTAGAATTTGATTTTATTTTATGTATAATTTTAACAACGGTGTCAATAGTCACTTTATTAAATTGAAATTTGAATTTTGAGTTATTTTTATTAAACCGCAGGCGAGCTCGGTTTCTTTATATTCAAGGTGAAAGATATTAATTTAAGATCACTAATCGCATTGACAGAATTGACGTCCGCTGATATGACGGCATCGACATTCGAAATGCAAATTAGATCAAGTAGAGTTTGACTGGAAAGCGTTAGTCTTGTTGGTTCTTTGATTATCTGATCTAGGCCTAATGAATCTAAAAGATTATTCAAAGTAATGGTATTACGAGAGTACTTGGCAGATCAATATTCAAGTCACCCACGAAAACTATTTCATTCATCATCGGCACTAGATTCGCAATCCTGGTTTTAAGCTCATTTATAAATTTTGAGGTGCTTGTACTTGGTGATTTATAAAGACAACCAACTGCCCATTTCACTCCGTTTTGTTTAATACTTTTCGAAAGTTGCTCTATTTGATCAGTGCTTGGTATGTATGAAAACGTAATATTTTCTTTGATAAATATACCAACGCCGTCACCCTGGCTTCTGTCCTGTCTAATAAAATTATAACGCTCAGTATTTACGAATTCTGTAGTTGTATTCGCTGATAACTATGTGTCTGAGACCTCTACTATATCATACTGTTGCTCAAAAATTATTTCTTTCAGTTGATACAATTTTCCTGCTAAAGATCTTACGTTTAAATGAGCAAGTTTCATGTGATGATTACAACTGAAAAATAAGAATCAGTCAGTCGTGTGAAGAAAAAAGAAAGAGAAAATTAAATTAGTGATAGAATATATAGTAGCTAATTACAAAGAAAATACTAAAAAGGTCTTTCAACTCACGCGCAACACAATACACAACCAAGAGCTTTCCTGATCCTTAACGCTGCCACATCACTTGTTCTTGGATCTTGTAGAGTATCCACTAGCCAAAGATTGATGTTGAGATCCAGGAGCACGTTTGAAGCTGTCTAGCTGAGACATAGAAGTGATAAAGCTTTTTTTGCCATCAGGTAAGATGGCTCTAATTTGTCCTAACACTCCAGCAATTCTGGATGCCAAATACCGTCTCTGTATCATTATATATGGTACGTCGATTTTTTGTTAAAAACTCGGTAATATTGGTGTGTTTTAAACTTTTCTTAGCATTCCAGACAGTCTGCTTATGCTGAGAGCTATTGAACTTGACGATGTGTCAATATCATGTAAATTCATAGTACCCAGTCTTGCTTCACAGCAGAATGAAAAGATTCATTTCCGGATTTCTGAATTCCAAGTATTAAGACTTTACGCATTTTGGTATCCACAGTATCGATTCGTTGTTCCATACTTAATATTATAGTTTTGAATTGTTGCATTATTTGCATAACGTTAACTATAAAGCTGTTATAGTCACTTTGGAGACCACGTACCTCAGGATAATCTGAATTCATAGCTTGTTATAGACGACTGTTGGAGGCATCCATAGATCTACCGAAGTATTCTTCTAGCTTCTTGAACTGATTTGCAATATCCATCTTGCTACGCCTCTGGTCCTGCTACAAATCGTATATTTGTAACTGCTCAAGGAATGCAGCAAAAAACTAACTCCGTGTATGCACAGCACAGGAAAAAACTTTTCACTGCCTACACGTTATTTATTCAATTTGCAGTGACGTTACTTTAGCTTATGCTAGCGAAATAACCACGGGAAAAACGCATTTTGGGCAGCTAACTATAGGAGCTGTTTACTCGAACATCGTGTTCACGCTAATTCAATAACATTCAATTCACCACTAATTTTGTTCCAAAAGAAATTTTTGTCAGATCACTCTTTTTGGAGATATTTAGGTTTTAATAGTTAAGGTAAAAGCCTAAAATATTCTTATGAAAATGTTTAGTCTCCTCTATTCGGAAAACATTGTGAGGCCAGATATTGGGAACACTATATGGCATGTGAAGGAATCTATGGCACCTCATTACAACATTAATTGAGTAATATGCGTTTCCTCCTCAATCAGTAGCGTAGTAGCTTACAATTCATTAAACCTTGTTTATGCACTCCACTGGTTTTCATGGTATCCTCCTTTTGGTATTACCCATTTTAGATGAATTGTCAGTTTTAGATTCTTTTTTTTGTCCTGCAAACGCCGCCTTAAGGGATGTTTGGAGTAGTTTCTGAGTACTCTTTTATATCTGAAATTATCGCTAGAAAGTATAATAGCATTACAATTTTTCGTAAATAACACTGATCAACAGCCAAAAAATATCCTAAATAAAATCAACAAAATATTACTATTTTTAATGTGCTAAAACCGGAATGAAACTTATTTTTCAATATTAGTTCAAGTTTTAGAGATACGGTAATTATATGTGTTCCTGCTGTGACAGTGTTAATATACTGTAATTCACAAGAATGCACGTGCTACATTTTTATATTCGGCAAGGAAAGATGATGTAATCGGTATGATTGTGTTACGTTATACATACGTGTACATTATATTGTTTTATATTAGCCATTTTTTCCTCAGTTGGCTGGCAGCGTTCATGCAAGATGTCTCGAAAGTGTGTAAACAATCCAGATCAGTTTTGTTACGTGTGTGGTGATGTGACTTTTGCGTCTCAGAGACGGTCTATTACTCCACTAATAACAAAGGCATATCAGCTTTTTTCGGTTGTAAACTAGGTGATCAAGACAAACAGTGGGCACCCCACATCTGCTGTAATACATGTGCTTCAAGTCTGAGGAGCTGGTTAAATGGCAAAAACGGTCTATGCGCTTTGCTGTCCCAATGGTTTGGAGAGAGCCTACAAATCATATTAATGATTGTTACTTTTGCATGGTACCTTGTGTTGGACAAGCCACATGTATGTCCAAGAAAAAAAAATCGGTTATTAACTACCCAAACATACCATCTGCGATGAGACCTGTGCCTCACAGTGACGAAAATCCTATTCCAAAACCCCCAGAATCCTACACTTGCGAATCAGAAAACGAATCAGATCATGGGATAGAGTGATTCGTCAGGAAGAAGATATGCCATCAACGTCAAGAGATCCTGATTTTATACCGAGCACGTCATGCCACCAACCGCACAAAATAACACAGTCAGAATTAAATGATCTTGTAAGAGATTTAGAACTTCTAAAATGTAAGGCAGAGTTACTTGGATCAAGACTGCAGCAGTGGAACTTGTTAGTAGACGATGTTTCGGTATGTGTTTTTCGTAAACGCCACAAAGACTTAGAACCATTTTTCAATATGCAGAATAACTTGGTTTTCTGCAGTAACATTAACGGCTTACTGGCGGCTTTAAATATAAACTATAACCCAGAAGAATGGAGATTGTTTATAGACAGTTCAACATTGAGTTTAAAGGCAGTGTTATTGCATATTGGAAATATTTTACCATCTCTTCCTGTAGGGTATGCAGTTCACATGAAGGAATCATATGACAATATGAAGTACCTATTGACATGCATAAAATACGATGAGCACCAATGGCATATTTGTGGCGATTTGAAAGTTGTTGCACTTTTACTTGGGCTGCAGCTAGGCTACACAAAGTTTTGCTGTTTTTTGTGTGAATGGGACAGTCGGGCAAAGGCACTTCATTACACCAGACAAAACTGGCCTGTTCGTCAATTCCTAGAGCCAGGCCAAAAAAAATTACAGCATATGCCATTAGTAGATTCGAAAAAAAATTTATTACCACCACTGCATATCAAGTTGGGCCTAATGAAAAACTTTGTCAAGGCATTAGATAGAGATGGGTCAGCTTTTCAATACCTGCGTCAGAAATTTCCAAGACTAAGTGAGGCAAAGGTTAAAGAAGGTATTTTTGTTGGGCCACAGATTCGAAATATTTTGAAAGATACACAGTTTGAAAACACTTTAACAGGTATTGAAAAAACTGCTTGGAATGATTTCCGTCTGGTGGTCACTAATTTCTCGGGAAATAGAAAATCTGACAACTATAAAACCCTTGTCAAAAATATGCTGTCAGCGTATCAAAAGATGGGCTGTAATATGTCTCTTAAGATACGTTTCCTACACTCACACCTGGACTTTTTTCCTGACAATTGCGGAGCCGTAAGTGAGGAGCACGGCGAACGTTTTCATCAGGATATTTCAACAATGGAAAAAAGGTACCAGGGAAAGTGGAATCCTTCCATGCTTGCAGACTACTGTTGGACTCTTGGTAGAGATGCTCCAGAAACGATCCATAAAAGAACAGCAAAAAGACAGCGCATATAGTGATTCTTATAAGTATATGAATCTTGTTACTTTTTTTAATATATCCTTAAAAATAAAAAGTTTTTTTCTAAACCGCAACTATTTTTTTTATTTCATTGACATTTTTGGATTCAGCGCCCCAAAATTAACAAAGAAGTGCACTTTTCCCACAAGATACACTTAAAAAACTAAAATTTGTTGTCCAGTATAATATTTTCCCACCTCCTCTGTCGTTTTTATTATTGTACAAATAAATTTCCTCAAGTTTCTATGGTGCCGATTAAGAATGATTGAACTTTCACCAAAGAACACGCTTAGACAAATTGAATACTTCTTCATTCTACTAGCATTTTAAAAATAATACTTATGGGGTTTTTAACGGTTTTTGATGACTACGTCACAATCCTTTGCCGAAGAACTGTACCTTACTGTACCCTGTGCGGGGCTTAACTTTCCCAAGTGACACCGCACAAGCTGATCATTAACGTAGCTGCATTTGCTCTTCTATACACACACATACACATGAATTGTGTGATAGCGGATCGTTGTTTTCGTTCACTTCAAGAAAATATTCAAATTTGTTTAATACATATTTTATATTGAAGATCAACAAAAGGTAAACTAATCGCACCCCCATGAGAACCAATATGTCAGTCTGACAGTAACAACCTCAAATATGTAAGTCTATATACGTATACGTACGTTAACGAGAAAATCTACAATATTATATAACAAACGTATGTACGAGACCGATTGCATACATATGTAAATACCTATATGTGAGGGAGATGAACCTATGAAAGTAATTCCTGTAGTTTTAATGTGAGCTCTCAAAATCTGTGAAAAGAATAATATAGCGACATTTTCTTTCATTTTCAGGATCTCCAGCACAGTGCCCTCCCAATAGCAGCCATTTCAGCTCTCTCGGTTGTCCTTCTAGCAGTTCTAGCAGCATGTCAGCTTCCAGCGGTCCTGTCTTCAGACAGCTGGATGTGTGCTTCTTCCCTATTGGCTACAGCAACGGTGACTGTAGCTACCATCCTATTGGCTGGCCGGCATGCCCCACTACCACTTTTTGCTCTGCTGGTTGCTGCCCATACCATGCTGCCCCTGTCCAAAGTTGTCGCGGGAGCTTTAGCAGCAATCGTCACAGTGGCGTGCATGGCCACGTCAATCGCGTATAAGATCAATACTCATCCGAACTCGTTCTACTCACAGGTGAGTCATAGATGGGGAAAATCTAAAGCATATGCAAAGTAGAGTTCAGAATGGTATACGATATCCTTTATCAGTAAGAAAAGTGAGATAACTGGTAGTCGGTAATATCAAAGAATTTTGTCTGCCCAGAGACGATCTCTGTGATGTACGCTCTGGTATCTTCATAGTTTGTCGGCTTGTACATTGACATAAGGTCTCAGAGTAGAATTACTATCAAACTATGGTTGATCTGGCAAAAATTTATGATATATTCATATTTGGACCAACATTCTTAGGTTATGGCAGACTTACTATTGGTCGGCTATGTTAACTATTCCAGCTGGCCATGTGATATGATGAACATGAATGTAGAGAGATGGCGTCAAGTAGGTTGACTCTGCACTTCCTACCCAACGCTGTCATCAGTTCATAAAGGAGTAAGTTCAGCACAAGTTAAACCCTCCCGAAAATAAATTGGTTACGAATATTACGATCGATCAAGTCAGCCAAACATGCCCATATAATTAGTCCATAGACAGTCATTCGGTGCTCTACCGGTAGATATCGTGCATTTGGCAACGTTACCCCTTTCCATATCGTCAGACGCTGCAGCGCCCACTCAAGCACGAGCAGTACGAGCAGAATAAACAAGCTGATCATCACGCCAAGAGCTGATTTCAGATAGCAGGAGAGAACGAGAATTTCTCTATCATTCCAAGATTTAAAACAAATCTACTAGAAAACCTAGGATGTGTGAAATATGGCTAATAGATGCGTCCAATTACCGTGTCTTGGGGCGTATTTAAATATACTAACATCAAAAATAGATATATCCTTCCCCATCCCCCCACAAACCCCACCCCCTAATTTTTTACCCGTAATTTTTTTAATGATCAGGGCCCTTTGAAATGTCAAAAAACGACGTTAGGGCGATTTTTATTTTTACCGTTTTTGCTCTTCTTCTCCATCGCCAGTCGACTGATTTTCAAAAACTATAAACCTTTTTGTCCTTGGCATGGTAGTAACCTTGTGTAAAGACCTCATCCAAATCAGAATAGCGCTTCCCAAATTATAACCCCGGTAATTCTATGCCTCCGTTAGCCATAATTCATCATAGATTTCCTGATACCCTTGCTTTTAAAACTTAGATTGATAGAGAATTGTTTTGATCTGCGCACTCCTGCTATCTAAGCTCACGGCCCGGCGAACCGGTCCAGTTCACTGATCTGTCCGTACTGCGGTGCAAGAACATGTACACAGACCATTTACGAAGTGAACTACAGCTCGCTGCGGATGGACAGTAACTATAGATAAGGCAGTGAAAGAATGTCTATGGGCTGAATATATCGACTTATTCCGTTTGATTTTTCTGTTGTACATGTTTGCAAACGACATATTTCTCAGATGATTCAGATTGCGCTGGACTGAATTCTTCACGAACTGATGATGACGTTACGAAGGACGTGCAGAGTCTACCTACTTGACATCATCTTCCAGGTTATGCATTATGAAGTACACTAATGTGTCTCTATGTGAGCATCTCTGATGTCATATCATTTAGAAAACAAATGTCTTCATCTTTACACCGTGACTCTGATTCAAGTCTTAGCTTTTCCACAGTTCCAATTCCTACTATCCCATTTTCGCAAATGGAGCGTCATCTGCTAAAGGAAATCCTGAAAGAAACATTATCTAATATAACATCTCAACTTTCGCAAGAGCAAACACCGTAGTAAAAAGTGTCAACAACAAATGGTGGTTCTTTGCCCAACTTTGAAGTAGTGTTTGCAAAAGAAATACCAAAGTTTTTAGAGTAACTTAGTAACGTAACTAACATACAAGACAACAGATTAGGTACAGAATAAAAAATTCTTTTTGTAGAAGATGCCTTATTGATTTTCAGAGGACGTCTGACTGGGTTTCATCTTCTAACTGGAGATTGCGAATAGCACTGCCAGCCAAACACGGTACTTTTGTTCCAGTTGACAGTAGCAGAAAACTACATTCCATCTCAGGCATGTCTGAATGACAGTCCGATTCGATTAAGCGACCAGTGTCGCCCATCTCTTAGTTTCCTATCCAACCGGTGTTCAGCCTATGCAACTTTTACGTTGTATGTCAAAGCTGGTAGCATGGTGAGCACTTAATGCTCTCCTGAGTAACGAGAGGCGTATGTGGTGGAAGGCATTTGTCTGCGAAAGCGACCTATCAGAGATGCCGGAGAACCTAAGTAATTTCTTCTCCAACGTAGAGGTCGGTAGTACCGCGTTTGCGATCAATACTTTTCTGTAAACCCAATGACTAGACCTACACCGTGCTTATGATTCCTGAAAAGCATGAAACTACATTATCTAAGGTTGGCAATGGTCACAGAGACCGGATGCCAACATATATTTTTCAGCCTTACTGGAGTTCGTTTTGAGGAAAACGAGCGTAGAGACTGCCTCTTGAAGCACATATCATCGTATTTTGCAAAATTTGCCAGTTTTGTTATCTAAGGTCTTCACTTGATACTTTTTCTACATGGCTTTAGTCACTTTTACCTACAAAATATTGACAATAAAATACATCCAGCATTCTCTGTCTTTGAGAATTTACCTCACATTTCGCGAAAATAGATTGAGATATTGAGATGTCTTTTCTCACATCCAAACCCGCAAAAAGATTAGGCTGTAAAGAATTAATTCACATAAGAAGTGTTCTTGCCGACAAGCCGTTTATCGAAAAATTAGTAGGTTACTGGGTTTTGCAAGTATCTATCAACCAGAATCTGGAATAAAAATCATCCTTCCTTTAATAACATAATCAACAACTCTAATATAGCTTGTAAAAACTGGAAGCAAACAACTGTATGATGCAAGGCCAAACGGGGAGCATCACGTTTTAATAACACATCACCTCACTTCACAGCCAAATGGACAGAAACGAAGCTTTTGTAACCCGTTGTTCCTCGAACCGAATAATTTTCTGAGTCAACGTTGACAAACATTACGGTAATTTATAAAGTCAATTAATACCTCATTGTAGTGTGCTTGTATAGAGTGTTCATAAATAATGGTTAACATTAATTAACGGTTTTCCCAAATGTGGGGCTTTCCGGACAAATTCCAGGTATTTTATGATTTTCATGGGTTTCTGCGACACACGCAATTTTGTGGGAATATTTTGCGATATCGTAAAATTTAGATTTAGAGTATCCGATACGTTTGGCAATTAGGGTGTTAACGACACAGTGAAAAACAAAAAAAACTACTTCATCAAAACTTTCATTCGCCTTCATGAGTCCAATTATGTAATTTGTGTGCCACACCTGTCACAATTGATATGCTATAGTCTCTAATATTGTAACATAAAATGACTTCGTTTCAGTAATATTTTTCCAAATCAGTATAGTCATTCAGTGATCTTATTTCATACGCTTAAAGGTAATCTGAGGCCTCAAACATATGCAAACAAGAACTTCCCTGTCTGTTTTAGTAAGTGTTGTTAATTGTCTAACAACTGCTGCGTTTCAACACCAATGCAAAATATTCTCATAGATTCTACAAGATGTTTATAACCGGGCCAAAATCTGGGGCGTAATAAAAAAGTTTATTTCCAGAAGTTGATATTTTTGACTACACCCCGCTATCATGTTTACATAATTTACTTTGACTATTTATTGAAAATCTGGCGAGGGTACAATGAATGTTTCCTTTAAAAAGATCTTTACCTATCCCCAGAACTGAGATATATGAAACTTTGTGGAAGTGAACTTTTCTTCCTGTCACTGGTCTGTTTTTATATTAATTTATATTTTTGTAACTTTGTGAGAAGAAAACTTTGAGCGTTTTTGTGAGTATTCTGATCGATGTTCATCCCGATATACAACGTCTCACTGAATATTCAACGAATTAACATCATTTATAAAAAATGATTTATTAAAAGAACAAATTGAATTGTGTCTGTGTCTGTCTTTAGGGAATTCAGATTTTATTAACGCATGTATTCCCTTCAAACTAAATTTCCACCGCAACATCTGTGGACATGGAGGTTCAAGAAATATCAACAAAAACATCTGCGGTGTTGATGAAATTTTTCATAAAATAAAAAAAGAAATCAATAGTTTGTCACCCTTTATCTTGAAAGCCTTGCACAGTTGGGCCTATATTTATACAAAGCTTTTCAGAAAGGGCCCCTTTCACTTAGTTTGTGAACAGGTCAAGTTAGCAAGCAATTTTTAAATTAGATGAGGGGTCCTGTGATAAGACGACTTAAAACTCCTTTTGCGTTCTTTATAGACCTGGAATTCAAATTCACCAGTTTTCCAAACGGCGCCGGCGTACTGATCAAAACACTATAGAATTATAGATCAATATTCTTGTTTTGGAAGAATATATTCCGTTTAAGAGAACTGATTTTCGAATGTCTTTACAGGGACGCTCGGAATTTTAATACATAGATAGATAAATTCTTTCAACAAAAGGCTCAATTTTGACAGTCTGTCAGTTCCACACTTAGGAAGAGGAGGCACCACATGGCCACTCGATTCGTTTAAATATTAATTTTACACCAAATATAGTATTTATTTCAGCTCGTTGACTTGACCCGTTCAAAAAATCGTGTTACAATCGCTTAAAGAGTCATTCCTTAAAGTTTGACCAGATATGTCATTGACACCCTGTATTTAATCCAAATAGCCCAGAACTTTCCCACTACCTATCTAACTACCGTTTTCGAAGATATGAATATTAATAGACCAAACTGGTCGCGACGCAACATAGCTTTGGTAGTACTACAATTCTGCATAACCAACAGCGGCTTAGACTCAAATCGTTGTTGAAATGGCGTCAAGTAGATTGACGCTATAGTTCCCGCGCCTTCGAAGGAAGCGCACTATTTGTGCCTTTCATAAAAAAGATTACTCAAATTGCAGTAATGAGTCTATCCGAACGTAGTAGTCTCGTTTCTGAAGCTCTGGTGTAAAAATGTTTAACAACAATGTTTGATACCTGATTATAATAGCTCTTAATATGTACCTATATAGCTCTGGTGTACGACTGTTTGTCAACAATGTTTATTACCTGATTAGAATCGCTCTTGATATGTACTTATATATCTTATATTCCATCTCATGAAATCAAGTAACCTCATAAAGCTACACTCCAAGCATAATGATCGCATATTATATATATATATATATATATATATATATATATATAATATATAGGTAATATCGCGGCCACCGTGTATGTGCACATACGCTGACAGGATTTGTTGCAAGAAGGAAGGGTACCTATAGGAATGTCAGTAGTATTCCTAGTTTTAAATGTAAACTACGCAAATTATTAGTTGAAAAATGTTTCTATTCTTTGTCTGAATACCTCGCACTGTGATATATTTTTTAAGCTTTTTTTATATGTGAATGTCTGTACGCATTAAGTTGTCCCTGTTTGTACTTTGTAAATACTTATGTTTGTTTCGTTTTTATTTTTAATTATGTGTACTATGTACCTCCCTCTTAGGACGAGTCTTATGTCATTTTTTATGATCTACAAGACAATAAATGTATCTATCTATCTATCTATACGCTACCGAGGCTTGATTCGCGTCTGTAAATATGTTTTCTACTAGCGCGCGGAAAGAACTCACTTTCAGCATGCATCTGCTTACAGAAAGTAGCACTTTTCCGCAAGCATAACTTTTGAAACGGGGGCTGACTAGGCATTCCAAGGAATGACGGATTTCAGCGTTTGACGCAGACATATACAATGCGCCCATTACTGGACGCCACGCTTGCGAAAGAGGTAGACTGACCCTATGCGCGTGGTATTACCTTCTCGAGTGATGCGAGATCATCGCGGTATTATGCTCAGGATATCAGTATACCCATTATGTCATCGTTATTCGGAAAGTCATGATCACGTCACCGCTTTGAATCACTGATGTCAATAAGTAACGATATCAAATATCACGATATCGGCCATCTCTAATAGGAAACATTCCTGGTTGAAAATCTATTCCCATTTTTCAAATTGTTCATGCCTTTTACATTTCTCGATTCCAGTTGATACCAGAGACTGCAATGCTGATAGCAGCCAGCTGCACAGGCATCTACTATCGCCGAATGACCGAAGAGGCCCATCGTAGAACGTTCGTAGGGACGCGGACGTGTATCGAATCAAGGGTGAAGCTGGAATGCGAAAAGGAGCAGCAAGAACAGCTGCTGCTTAGTGTCATCCCAGCTTACATCGCAGCTGAGGTGAGCAGGATATTTTATATCGCAAATAATCATTTCGTTGGAGATGAGATTTTTCTGCGAAATAGAAGGGCAGAGGCGGTAGCATGGAAATGTTACTTTGCCATAGTCCCGGCAAAACGATCAGACATTCGTTACTTTATAAAACCTGAAGGTTCATCTGTGCATTTGTCCAACATAGGTAAGAACGATCAGCGGCTATGAAATTTGGATAGTGGTTACTTTGGCAGGGAACAAGTAGCAAAGTTATATGTAATATACTGCTCAAAAAAATGAGAGGAGCAAGGGAAAAATCAAAGTTTTTACGGGGATCTTTGTTAGGCTGTATTTCGGTGAAAAATGGACTTAATGGGCTTGAAAATATAATATATATTATTCAGCCTCAATATCCTTTTTTAAAATCTCGATATGATCATTTGGCGAAGAGTTATCTGACTTTCAATGAAGAATGATTCTATCGACCATTGATATATCGGAAACCAGTGATAGCACAGAAAATATTTCCGGAAACTGGAATTAATCTTCCGTAAGATATGTTTGCAATCATTGGGTAAATTATTTTGTTTCCTTAGTATTGACTGTAAAAATGTCAAAAAGTTACTTTTTGCGTTGTTTTGAAAAATTACTGCATTTTTTGGATTGCTAATGAAAAGGTTTTTTCTACCCCAGTGTACATCTAATAACACTGCATGACGGTAGATCGATTTATTGTACGGTTGCTCCGGGCCGATAGGCCAAATTTGAAAATGATGCAAATTTAGTGTCGGATCTTACTCTGTTCGGTCGGATAGAACACCTAATATTTTATTGATCTGCCGCTGGTTAGTTTTTTTGTTTTTTGGAATATTCTATGAATGCATTTTTTTCCAATTACTAGTTTTGAGATATCCAATAGTGACATCAAAATAAGAAAAATGAGTCTAGATACGACCATTCTTCACCGACATACAAGCTGCCAAGAATCAATGAAAAATTTGAATTTTTTTCTTGCTCCCTCAATTTTTATGACTTAGTACCTCAAATTCGTTAAAGTATGAAGCCCAGGTTTTTATTATTTTTTTATGAATGATAGAGTTAAACTTACGTCATAGTATAAAGGTTAAAATTTATGTATCTGTATGTTACTTCAAAACTATCAAACGGTGCTACCCCAGTATCTAGACAGTTTGTGGAATTTTTTGTTACGCATAGTTTGCAGCTGCGATCAAAAGTCTACGATATTAAAGGGTAACAAATATTTACGTTGATGATGGCTCCTGAAAGCTTATGCGGTGCTTTTTATTTGTTCTCGCTCCAATTACAAAATCAAGAGATCATATCATTCACTCCAAAGATAGCAATTATAGTATAGTTGTAATCACTGCTCTTGATGAATCAGAGTAAGACTACCAGTATTCCTTTATCTATCACCATCTCCCTTATGCATACACATGTAACCTACCCCTGTTTGTCAACGTTTGTTCGGTAGGCTCAGACATACGTTTTTTAGTTGAATATCTCCGTCTCGAAAACTTTGTCGTTACGTATGAGTGCCCTTCAATCATATTTGTCAGAGTGACAACTTACGTGACATCGGCGTGCAATTTGAAATGTTCAGTTATCAATCTTCAATATAAAATTGTACAATGTCGGAAATACGATCAATGGAGAAGGCCGACAGCGCGTGCTAAATTTCTTAGAGTAGAGAATTAAAACAGCGGTCCTCTCTTATCCACTTCATGCGTACTGGAGAGAGTAGCAGATGCGCTGAAGATTAGTCCGCGCAGTGTTCCGCTCATGGTACGGAGACCCGACCTGTTTACTTATTCCATATGGCGTTGATGACGTAACCGTCAAGAACGGTGACTACAACCACATAAGCACTATGGTTGTTTCTATTATTTAGTACACTCAAATTTTTTTCACGGTCTTGGTATAGCACGTGTGATTATACGACTCCTAAGAATGACTATTCAGGTCAACCAAGTATTTGTATTGAGTTTGGTTAAGGTCAACTATACTACCGATAATTCAAATCACCAACAAGGCGCTGAAGCTGCTCTCGCCGAAAGCTCTGACATATTTGGTGAGAATAATCAATGCGATGCTGAGAACTCACCAATTCCCTGCGGAATGGAAGACTGCTGAGGTCACCATGATTCCAAAGAAGGTGGGTTCGATATTTCCTCAGGATTACCGTCCCATTAGTCTGATGTCAGCTCCTTCTAAGCTTGCCGAAAAGGTGATTTATCGCCACCTTGAGAATTTTTCGTCAAATCACCATGTGATTCCTGACGTTCAATTTGGTTTCTGGTCCGAGCATAGCACCGAGCTACAGGCAGTCAGGCTGGTGGAATATGTAACCAGAGGATTCACCCTCAGCTTGAGTACTGGCATCTTGATGTCTCAAAAGCCTTTCACAAGGTGTGGCACGCGGGCCTCCTTTAGAAACTAATCCAAAAGGGTTTTCCTTTTTGGCTTCTATAATTACTGAAATCCTTTCTTGAAGGAATTTACAATGTTTTGTCAACAACACGGCCAGTACGGGCCGGTGCTCCTCAAGGTTCGGTCCTTGGACCAATCCTTCATTCGCTTTTTATCCATGATGTCCTTTGCCCAGCAACTGTGAAGTCTACCTCTATGCTGACGGTGCTGCACTTGTCACCCAGTCGTGTACTGGTGATCTGGTTCACGATGGGTTGCAGATTGTGGAGGACGCAGTACTGGAGTGGGAGGAACGGTGGCAGATTAAAATTAATCATTTGAAAACGCAGGCTAATTATTGTACCAAAAAACGTAGTGGCACCCCAGCAGAGGTTTCTGTAGATGGCAATCGTACACCATGGACAAATTCTGCCAAGTATCTCGGTGTCACTCTTGATAAAGGCATGACCTGGCAGAAACATACAGCAGCCTTGAAAACAAAATTCCAAATTGCGTTTCGGAAACTATATCCTTTGTTATGTAGATCCTACAAATTGAGTTTTATAAACAAAGTTCGAGTATATAAAATGATTATTAGACCAGCTATTACTTATGCATTTGGGGCTTGGTGTTTTCTTGCCAAGACACACATGCAAAGTCTTCAAGTACTGCAAAACAGAAGTTTGCGAACAATTTGCAATGCTGGTATGTCTGAAATGAGAGACTACATAGAGACCTTGACATTCCTCAATTGAGGGATTATGTCAAGCTTCAGGCGCAGCGACGTTATAGTCAAGCGGAATCGCACAGCAACACTCTGTTGTGTTACTCAGTGTACTACACAGTGGAGCAACTTCGTAGGCATTCAAAATTACACTCTAACAAAACCGAATCAAAATTTGCTTAGTTCACCTCAAAATTAATCCGTGTACCAAGTCAAAAAGTCTAGGTGTTTCCTCTTGAACTAAACACTTCTGTTTTTTCTTTGCTCTTCTCTTTTTTCTTCTTTTTCCCTTTCTTCCTTTTTTTTCCTTGACATTGTCTGGTTTCTGGGCAACCAGGACTGACAGATTCGACTAACGTACATTAGACTGTGACTAAAGGGCAAAGGTCCTACGGCCCGCCCAGGCAAACAAATGACAAATAGTGACTACCAATATTCTACATAACTACGACATTCAGACCGCGTAATAAGCCTTCAATAGTCCTTTCGAGGTCACTACCAACCATAGGCAATCATTTACGAAACTGTCAATGGTAATGCTCTATTAATCAACGTAATAGCTCGGGGTGTCATTTAGATGTTATCTTTGTTGACGACTGCACAAATGAATTACGCTCGAAACTCCGTCCATTTTAAACCCTCCAGAATTGCTGGGTGTGTAGATTTCGCATTTCAAATAGAAGCTTTGTGACCTTATTACTAAAAATACACGCATTGCTGGCGCAGAATGTAAACATTAAATGGGAATTGGAATCAGTATGAAAGGGTTCGTTTACTGGTAATTGAGGACGTGGTGAAGCTGAATTCAGCCCCTGTTTTAGAAACACTGATTGCCATCAACATATATATATATATATATATATATATCTTATAATAGATAATAATAATACTACTCCAAGTTTTTGAAATCACAAAGAGACGTGAAAAATCGTAATTTATGACTTTGCACATAACCTGTCTTTAGAAAGGTCAACATGTAAATAACCCGTCGGGCATAACTAATAGACTATATACTTCATTGGCAGCATATTCAGTAATAATTTTCCCACATAGCAAATATCACGGATTTTATACACATGACCAAAACACATAATCATCCAGATTTCATCTCTTGTTATTCGACCAACTTTCTTCCTTTCACATCTTCTCTACTTCACAAAAGACATACTTGCTTTCAGCAATCAATAATGCGGGTAGTTGAGCCATTCCTTCCAAGATGGACGCTCAGCGATTATAGCGAATAAACGTGGACTGAACTATTTGCATCCTAAAAACTACCTAGTCTGCAAGATGACATTTTGTTATATATATATTTTAAAGTCTTATAGGTGCGCTCTCCTGCTGAGAAACAGCTCTCGTCAAGGTTTTCAGGAGGCGGTTATGAAAGTTACCTTGTCCTCCAGAATATGTCCATTCTCAATTAAACTATTCTGAATCAATGTGCTTTCTTGACAACTTTGCGCCAGTCTAATTCGTGGTTTGTGTTGTCTTTTTGAGGCATAAAGTAGATGAAAACTAACATGGAAAGTTCGTATAAACATGGGTCCCCCTTACCTTTTTACGGTGTGTAAGAGTTATAATTTTAAAATCGATTAAGATAATTATAGACTACACCAGTAGCGCAGAAATAGGAAATTTTAATCCTACAGAAGGGAAAAGAAAATTATTTTCTACGATACTGACTTTTTTGTAACATCTATGGTCTTGAATCGCTCCACTTTCTATCCTATTTCACAATAGCGCTATTAAGATTTTATCCTTATCCAGCCTTATCGGTGGTGTATCTGTATACAGGACATCTGTTTATAAGAACTTATTTGCTATTTTTGGATGTACTTTATGCTCTAGAAATATTTGTTTTTTTTATCACCTTGTACGGCGTTACGATAAGCCATCCTGGTGGCCAAATGTTAAACAAATTATTGTTTCAGGTAAAACGCAGTATTATGTTAAAGATGGCGGACGCATGTCAGCAGGAACAGTCTAACCGTAGTTTCCATGAAATGTATGTCCAGCGTCACAACAACGTGTCAATCCTCTACGCAGACATCGTGAACTTCACTCCACTGTCCGAGCAGCTTTCAGCTTCTGATCTGGTGAAGACGCTCAACGAACTTTTTGGAAGATTTGACCAAATAGCACAGGTAAAGCATCATTTTTCTTAAAGAAGGTTTCTCGATAAGTTTAGATTAGATTATATTATGGAAATACGACTATTACACCATCTTGAAATCTCTGTGATCCATTTGGAGCTATAGTTAATTTCCCCGTTTCCGTTTCCAGACTGCTCTAGCAAATACGCGCGGGAACGAAACGATAAAAACCTAGCCTGTCTTTGATGTTTTGCCTTGCCGCTGACAGTTTGTGATCACCCTGCCAGAAAATCTTTATTCTTTTGTGTTCTTGATCGGAACTCCAAATCATTCAATTCTTACGGGTCAAGCTCGAGCAACGAAAATGTGAAACACAATTTGCCTTTATTTTATTGCGAAAGGCGTTAGAGATCTGCATTTTTATTGTAAAGCTTCTGTACAATGAGTCGAATTAATAATTTAGTGTAGACATTCACAATTATTTTCAAAGTGTCTAATTAAAGACGAAATCAACTACAAGCCGCTATAAACTTGTCTTCTTTATCTTAGTTATTCAGGAACATCTCAAACATATATGGTGACTCTGGGTCATACATTATCAGTTTTTTATCATCGTTCATTGTGTGGTATAGATTTAATGTGAGTTTGATGCAAAAAACGAAAACGGGGAACCATCATAGCCTAAAAGTCTTGACATCCCACTATTTCGGAGGGTGTAACACTGAATAGAAAGCTAGTGCATGAGGCGACAGGGGATTTCAAAAATGTGTAGCTCATGTGCATGACACTTGAGAGTAGTGGAACAGTATTGCTAGGTGTTGGGCAGTTCGAAATTCAAATCGTTCCTAATCTCAAATCGGATAAATGTTGTTTTCATTGATATTCACTGGCTGTGTCAAGCACAAATATTCCTGCTGGATTTCCACTAGGTTGCGTTGTCAGCGAGCACCCAGCGAATTTGCGCAGCCCAAAGCACTGCATTCACCTCTGATCCTGTAGTCATGCTCAATAGCCTTTACAGAAGACTTTACGTGTAGCATTTCGGTTTTGGGCCCGTGAGCCAATAAATTTTATTTCCGAAAACTCGAGTCACTCCGTTAATGTTGTGATTGAGAAATGTCCCTAACTAATACACTCCGAGCCTACATGGATGCGTGTAGGTTTATTTTTCTTCTCTGAATAAATAACCAACATGCAGTTGCGTAATAGACGAAAGTTTACAGATAAATGAAAATTATAAGGCTACAAGGACAATACTTATAAATAAACGGATTAGAGTTATTTTCAAATTCATAGGTGACGCAGGTCTAACCTCAAGAGCTGGATCACCGATTGCCACAGATTTTCATACATCATATTTCAATATTTGGGGTTATTGAAAGTCCGGGAAAGTAGTTTTGCTGGAATGCATCTGTTTGAGTAATCTTGATCTCATTAAGTTTCTGAATAGGCCGCTTTAATGATGACAAGTCGTATCTTCAATCAATTTAGACAAAATTTGGTTGTTATGACAATACACAATAAAATGCCACCATCTTGAATAAAATATGGTGGATGCTACAAAATGCCGATGCATTATTTTCATAGTAACATCTATCATAAGGGCATCAAATGGAAGGGCTGGATGAGAGAAACTTAATAAGCAAAGTCACATCATTTTGAATTCGCGACACGCATGGAGGTTGATTATTTAACCTTTATAATGTGGGTATCTAATGGAAGTATTTTATTAGCGAAGCATAACAAATGAAGCGAGGTTATTCTAAATCCAATAAACTGAACGTCTAATACGACAATGCTGGTCTGATGTTGGAGTCGGAAGGTGGCCATGGAAAGTTTGTGATACGAAATGACAAGTATAACTTTTCTTGACAAGTATCGTGGTCTAATGATTAAGTCTGTCGACTTTTATGTAAAATAAATACCAATATAATAACCATATCAAATTTTAACTGTTTACATTAGATGGTTCGCCGATCCTGGTTACGTTTTATTTCTTCTATGATTTGAACAAGCATATTTATCGATATAATCACGTCTCTTGTATTTCGGTAATGTATGATAAAAATAAGATAAGTAGTTTTATGAAGTTCTATTGATAAAATACATATAAATTAGACAGAAATTAACAATACAAATACTGAAAAGGAATAAATGAGAAGAAAAAACATTTTTCAAAACATGTTTTTATTTAGCCGTTAAGAAAAAGAACTGAAAATCTAAACATAAATAATGTTTAAATAGGAAGTATGCCGCTTTATGCTGCTTAATCTGTAAACGCTAATGAATTTCCTCCATCTCAAGTCTTGAAGTAATACGTGTTACATTTTAACAGCAAGCGCGAACACGGGTTTATTTGAAAACTTGAGACGGAGGAGAAGGAGATTAATTATCATTTATAACTTAACAAGCAAAAAACGGCATATTTCCATTTGGAAAAAAGCTATCTTTAATTTTTTTGTTCTTTTTGTTAACTTCTAAATAATAGCCTGATTTATTTTTACTTTATTTATTGAGATCTTGCAAAATAATGTCTACTAATTGGAAGGGCAGGGTATCAGTGAACTTCATATTTTTTTGTTCCAGCTAAACGTCTTGCTTCCCGTTGCTACGTAACTGTCAAGGGGTATTTACAATAACATAGATATTAATCCGATGTCCTGTTGATGCAAATGAAGTATAGTCAACGCCAAACAAAGTGGCGTGCACGTCATCACGATAAAAATTCCCCGACCTAATGCCTAGGTTTCTATCACAAACAATTGCTCTATTGCAGTTTCATATTAATGTGATATATAAATTGTAAAATGGTCATTACTCTCTTATTATGGTTAATAGTCATATAAACATTGTTATTAAAATATCACATAAGTTGCTTTCTGATAAATTTAGACGCATTATGCGAAATAAAATGTTTTGCAAACGCTCCAATCACTTATCGACATGTAAACGCACTAAACCGATTTCGCAGCGTTGACACATTGTCACCTTGAAACTTATTTAAACTGGGAACTGACATTTGTATTAATTTTGACACTGAATCAATTTGTGGCATTTCAAATCTTTATAAATCCTTTGGCCCCGCATACTGTAAATCAACAACTGTTTGTTTCAAAACAAAATTATTCATTTTACGAGTAGATAAAGGCAATTTTGGTATATAAAGATGCCCAAACAGTTAAATAGTCGGTGTAAGGAACTCGTGGCCTCGTTAATGCACTACTTTGAGCAAGAAAGGGACAACAACGGGCCTTTGTTGCCTTTAAATGCTGTTCAAGAGGTAGGTTACTAATAATTATATGTAATGTATATTAATAATAGTGAAATTTTATTTCATTTTTTGTAGCGTGTTGCTGCTGCTTTAAAAATTAGTTTAAGGACAGTTAGTCGTATTTCCGAGGGTGTGAAAAGTGATGCAAATTTAGAATCGCCCAAGAAAAAGCGGAGTTATATTAAACGTGTAACCAACACAGCGACATTGGATACAAGTGCCATTCGAGAAGTGATCTATAATATGTATCACAAAAGTAAGATCTTATTATAATAACTTATCAGAAATTTGCATTAATTTGTTAACTAAATTATAATGTCATATTACACATGGTTTCAGAAGAACAAGTTACGATACAAACTTTATGGTCTCGATTAAGAGATAGGGCATTATTTGATGGTAGTGCCACGTCTTTAAGGCGGTTGCTTAGAGATCTTGGATTTAAGTGGCTTAAGGACAATCCGCGACGAGGGCTCATGGAACTACCAAGTATAGCTTTGAAAAGGGTGGAATTTCTAAGGCAATACAATCAAGCCAAGGTTGAGGCCTTATACCAGTTTGTCTTCCTCGATGAAACTTGGATATTTCAAAATGGGACCATAGGTCGCTCTTGGCAAAATGGAAACCAAAAAAGCGTGAAAGCTATTAAAACAGATGGTAAAAGGTATGTACTTTTACACAATTTGCACTATAAAATTTAAAACTAATATATTTTAGATACATTATATTACATGCTGGAAATGAAAATGGGTTTATTGAGGCTAGTGAAGCGATATTTTCTTCGAAAACAAAATTGAGCGATTACCATGGAGAGATGAACCAGGACAATTTTTTGAAATGGTTTCAACATCAGTTATTAGAAAAATTGGAGAGTCCATCTATGATTATACTGGATAACGCCCCTTATCACAGCATGATATTGAACAAAGTGCCCAACAATGCATGGACAAAAAAAAATATCCAAGACTGGTTGACAAATCAAAACATACCATTTTTAAACACAATGTTTAAAACAGAGCTATTGAGTATTGTTGCTCGGTGCATAATGCTTCTTAATTATATATATTTTGGTCGACAGTTTATATTTCTTTTGTTTATTCCTATTCTTAAAATAACTGCTTTTTTAGAAACAAACCACCTAAAATATACGTGATTGATGAATTGGCGGAACAACATGGGCACAAAGTTCTTCGTCTGCCTCCTTACCATTGTATATTTAACCCTATTGAGTTAATTTGGGGCATAGCAAAAGGTTACTATAACAGACATATTGGTAGAGATGGTAACAGTGAAAAAGACTGTTTGGATATGTGGAACGAGGCTCTACAAACGGTTACCCCAGACATGTGGAAAAATAGTGTTCGACATACTGAGCAAGAAATTTTTAAATGGTATGATAGAGAACGAATTTTTGATCGACCAGACATCGAACCTTTAATAATCAACTTTGAGAGTGATGAAGATTCAGATTCAGACTGCGCTGAAGAAAGAAACTCCGACTAACTTTATTGTACAGAAAAAGCTTACACCAGTAGCTTACCTAATTTTAGAATGCATTTTTCTGTATGAATTCTGTAAAGTAAATACCATGCATAAAATTTGGAGGACCCCATTTGGATTTTTATTCAGTACCTTTAAGCTATCAATTAAATATGGTAGTTTCATAGTGTCATCTGATCAATAATTGTCATACTTAATGATTATGCAAGTACAGATCTATAATTTTATTATACTATTATTTTTGTTCTCATTTGAGGTTAATATTGCTTATAAACCTAGA